GTTACACACTGGACCTTTAATAGGATACAACAGATTTTCAAATGACTAAAAACAGTCAATATAATATAATAAACATATAAACTAAAGTATCAATGATCAACTAGGACAGAGGTAGTAACTTAACAATGTTCTACTATTTGGTGCGTCTAAAAAGACTCACATTAAACATAGCACAAACATTTAAAGTCTTCAGACTGACAACTGACTGACTGAGTGAAACACTTGTCAACATAGAGGAAACCCACTGAGGGCAAGCTCTCTTTTGTGTTTACAAGAGTATATAAATAATTGTTTTAAGTTGAAATCGCATTATAAAGCCCAAAATTGCAGCTTAAAGTAAAAAAAAACTAACTACTTTTAAGTGTTAAAATACAGTCACTTGATACTGTAGAAGGTAACTGTTAACATCAACATTAGATTAATTAAATTGAGCTGTGCATTTTGCATAATGTAGTGCATACACTGCTTTTATTGAAAAAGGCACCCCAGAAACAAGAGTCATAACTGATCTCAGCGCAGCCCAGGCCTCCTGCACTCTGTCCCCGCTGTCACTGGTCTTCCCTCAGAGATGCTCTGTATATATTAATGTTTTGTTTGTCATCACGGTTCACAAGCTCCACAATAAATCTGCTTGGCAGACATTCCTCATAGAAACCTGGAGTCCCATGCTCTTTTCGCATTTTGGATGAGAGATACACCACTGCTCCATTCTTGCACAAATGAGCTAGTGTCTCCACTAGCAGTGGGTAAGTCTCTGGGAGGTAAATGATATCTGCACAAAGCACCAGGTCCCAGTCAGAAGGGAAGTTCATGTGGTCCTCACCCCAGGACAGAGGGAGGACAGTGGGAAGGGTGGTCGGCCAACCACTGGGTGGCATGTTAGCAGACACGTTGGCCTGAAGTTGTGGGAGAACCAAAGGCAGGTCTGTGAGGGTCACCACTGCACCTGGAAAGACATGAGCATTTGATTCCAGTGTGTTATTGATGAAACTCTCAACTCAAGATACTTTACACACTACAATATTATTCCCAGACGCACCACACAGAACACATGCAGTCAGTTACTGTACTTTAAAAACATATTTCTGACAGACTGCTGAATGGACACTGACACTACAGGAGCAACAGCTGTTGTGGCAGAAGCAGCAGGTTTGCAGTGCCTCTGGTGGAAGTAACTGTGAGCTGCAGATCTCTGTGGAAGTGGAGCCACACACAGTTCACTTCTACTCTGGACTAGCAGAGAGATAGAAGAACATAACTTTCCTTGCACATACACAAGCAGCCAGGAGAGGCTCAGGGAGTCTATAATGCCATTCACAACCATAGACCTGAATGTATTCCTCCGCAGTACAACATACCGAGGCGCGCTGCCAGAACACCGACCAGCCCGGTGCCTGATCCCAGCTCTATGATGCGCTTTCCTCTCAACTCAACAGACTGCTCCTCGAAGTAACAACACAGGTGTAACGCCTGTGTACACACAAATAAACACCGTTAGAGTTGCACAAAACTCACACTGACTTAGCACATATATCACATATATAGATATATATATAAGGTTATATCATAATGTCAACATAGAGCAGGTGGTGTCTTACAGCCTCCCACACCGGGGCAGCCACACCGAGGTTGGCACCGAACACCTGTCTTATCTTCAGCTCTTCACCGACTAAAGTGTACACGGTATCTTGAGAAAATGTTTCGGCGAACAGACAGTCGTCGACCGGGAACGGGTCGTCTTCATCCCCTGCACAAATCATGGTTGGTAAATTAAATCGGTTACCTCGATGTAAAGTGAGCTAACGTTACTAACATGCGCCTTCCGGGTCAGGTAGTGTTAGTAGTAACAGCTAATACGTTTTCATTTTAGTCTGCGCTTTCAGAAAGAGAGAGGTGAACGGCTCATACATTTATAAAAACGTTTGTACTTCTCTCTCACCTCAAACTGAGGGTTTAGTTACAGCTAACTCAGTATTGTGAGGGTAGTGTTATACGAGGCTTTTATTTTGAAATATAAAACCATCTGACACTGAGTTTCCGGGTTAGACCCTAAAATAACTCACAAGAGGAGCACTGTGCACCAGACACATGTTAACAGTGCAGTCTGGGATATGTAACCTTTCATTTAGGCATGATTAGGAGAGCAATATAATGATCTGATTACTTTTTATACTTTACCCTTGTATGTCCCATGTTGCTGATGTTATGTGGGGAAACATCTGCACTTAATCCAGTTTAATTTGCAAACCTGATATTCAGGTATTACTATTACTTGGTTATTTCAGGTGCCTCCTGCCTTTAAATCAGTGACATTAAGAGTAAAAACATGTTTTGCATCATCTCCATCTTCTTTTCATAGCCAGCAAGACAACACTGCCTGCTCTCGCATTTGAGAAGCAGAAATTATAAAATGTTTGGCAATTTGGCATAGAAAGCGATTTGTATGATTAATTAATTATCAGAATAATTTATATAAATAATTTATATTATATTTATTTATAATAATTATCAATTGATTTATGCATCAGTGCTGCAGTTCAAAACACAAAACACCATCATGTTCCAGGTTTATTTAAAAAAACAGTTTGTCTCCTCACCCGTTTTGCTTAGAAAACAAAACTGAAGTAGAGTGCCACTAGGACATAACCATTTTTCACACACACAACTTCACATCAATGACAAAGATGATTTTAACAGGTGTATAAAGTGTAGTCAGGTACAGATATGTCAAATAAAGCTCTTCATTTCAGCTTATCCGTCTTTATAGAACTCAAGAATATGATAGGAATTTCCAACACAGCTAACTAAAAATGAATGGGTTGAAAATGGATCTGAAAAGAAAAAAGATAATATATATATCTGCTTGTGTTGGACTGTGTCACAGTTATCTCAGTGGGAAGGACAATAACTGTTGGGTTTAGACAGATACACTTTACTCAATATACAGTAATTCTGCCCGAGGCTGAACACCTCTGAACTTCTTGATTATTTGAAGTTATTAAAAAATAAATAATTCTTTTCATCACACAGATGACAGTAGTATTACATCCATAACACAACCACCCTCTCCCTCAGGCCTCAATATGTGCAAACTGCAAGAGTTTAAAAAAAAAAGGTAGCACTTAATGCATGGACCATGAAAAACAAAAACAAATTAAGTGTTTTAAAATGAGCACTTCATGAAAAGTGCAACAGGTGTGAGACGGGTATGATTTTAAAATGACAGGATGAACTGGGAGGAAGGTCGGGGCTGTCTACACCCTCCTCAGGCCAACAGTGGAGTAACAATGATCTCAGTATGGTTATTCAATTGGGAAGTAATAATAATAAAATATAACAGGTGGTCCTTAAACCAAAGGAATATATTTGGTACTTAATGACTATTCTAATCATATCTGCAACTGTCCTAATACAAGACATTTTCTTTCAAGGTAAAATACTGAGCCGGGACATAAATGCAATGTTCATGAAAATGAATTTGCACTATATAACGAGATCTACTGCAAATGTCTTTTTCACAAAACATTCGTTCATGTCACATCTTCCACACAGAAACAAACTGTTTGCAATGATACTGGACAGAAACGATGCACTGTCACACAACAGACGTCACAATTCGTGCTTCGAGTTCAAGCAGAGGAGCTCTGCTTTAGCATTTAAACATTGGTAGTCCACTTTTATACACCACAGCGTGTTTTCTTTTAAGACACATGTCAACATAGCAGGGTTCGACAAACCTCTGTCACAGAGACTTGGCGATTTGGGTGCAAGTCACTTGATAAAAACGGCCACGGTTCAAACAGATTGTTGATTGTTTCTTCCATTAAAATCAACAACAAAACACCCCCACGCGGCCCAAAGTGCACCTGTGAGGAGACGTTCTTTTTCTTCATTTCCTGGTGGGTATGAAAGGCAGTCAGCTTTGTTTTGAGTAGAACCGAGACGGAGTCCAAGTCCACACAGATGCACAACAAACACCCACACAGAAAACAAAAGCCAGAGGAATGCATAATTAAAACTTTGTTCCAAAAAGAATAATAATTAGAACAATGACTATGACAAAGAGGATCAAAATGACCAGCATCTTTCGGTTTTTCTTCTGATACTGTTCCGCCTGCAGAGAAAGAAAAAAAAAAGAAGGGAAATACTGTATTTCAATTTCATGAATAAAAGCAAAACATTCAGTGTCTTAACATCATCTGACAAACTGAGTTTAAAAGGATTTGCTAGCTGTAAAGGTTTGTAATCAATATGGTAAATGACATCATAATTGTGCCTTTAGCCAGCAGAAAGTTGCCTTTTTCTTTTCCCTGGTGGTTAAGAATCATTATTAGCTTCCATGCTAAAATAGGAAATAAATCTTTAAGTAAGAGCAATCTGAACTGTATAACTGAGATAAAAGATGAGACCTAACCAAAAATGTGCATGTAGACCTGTTACCTTCTGTAACTGCTTCATTCCATCTTCTGTTTTAACACAAGCCTGCTCCACATTGAAGTCAATTCTGTCAAGAACGGTGCCCTTGAGGAGGAAGAAGAACAGGGAATTTGTTAGCAGAGGAAAATGATTTCAGTTGTAGATTATTTATTATATATTTAGTATATATAAACAAACATAATATTGTATTTAAGCAGTGTTATTATCAGTTACTGCCAAACACCTTCTAACCTTGGGTTTGTTTTGACGCAAGTAATTCTCATTCAAGCTTTGTTGATACAAAATCTGAAACGTCAGGATGCTTTACATTTTGTAAGTCTTTAGGTCAACTCACTGACAACCGCACACTTGTACGTGGAGAACAAGAACGTTTGTCTTTGGTACCTCAGTGACTTGACTCATGCTACAATGAGGAGTTGTTTAACTTTGTGCGTGTCAGGACTGCTTCAAATACCTGTTCCACCACCATTCCAGCCAAGTCCCGGAAAATCTCATTCAGATCTGAGATGGACTGCACTATTTGTCTGATTTCCCGCTCTCGTTCTTCAACCATAACCGAGTTCTGCTCCACCAACATCAGCTGGTCGTCTGTGAACCCCTGAAACAAAATAAAATGAAAGAATAAAAGTAGGTGATTTTACAGTAATACCATTATTACTCCAGCAACACAACCAACAAGTAATACTGCTGCATTTCACTGGCAAAAAGATTCAAACCAATAAACAATCTTAGCTATGCTAACTAAATAATAATACTACAGTGCTAATGTCTTAAGTTTTAGTCTCATGACTAAGTCTTTAACAGTTTTTTACAGCATTAAAAAAAACATTGTAAAATGGCTTGATTATACTTTTTTTCAATTTCACTGGTTCTGTACTCATACTTAAAGTATTTCTGTTATACAAGATGCCTGAGCAAAACAAATGGTGGTGGGTAGTAGTATACCACTATTGGTACACATACTATGGTTTGAGAGAGCTGCCTCTAGTAGAATGCAGAGGAATCTCTGAAATATGTTTATGAAAGGAAATAAATTCAAATTCTATATTTTAAATGAATACTGAAAAGATCTGAGATATCTGAAATGTTATTTAAAGTAACTTCTGCATCTCTAATATTTTGTTTCAATGTGAGCCTGTTACAGTCACATTCATGCGCGTAGCACACGCATACATCCATGATTAGTTATGCGAATTCCAGCTAGTAGAAAAATGAATGGTTCAAAAACACTGAAATTGTGGCTCCAAATGGAAACTAATAGGAAGAGAAGTGTGGCCCAAATTAGCTCTGGTTCTTGAACCGGTTCCATTCAGGATTCAACCGGCCTCCTGTAGGGTCTGTAGCTGGATAGGGACAGTCTACGCAACTGTATTTTAATGTTGTTTAAGTCTTAAAAAGCCAGTCAACCTTGTCATATACAGCTAAATCTTCATCCTCTTCCATCAGGGGTCCAGAGTCAAAAAAGTGCTTTGATCTCTCCTCACGATTCTTCATACCTGAAATATAAACAAATGGCGAGAAGCTGAGATGGCATAAAAAAACAGAACACAAACAAAATAAAAGAGATATAATATATAACCTTGATAACACACACACTGAGGGATGAGGATTGAGGAAGACCAATCCCAGCTTTACTGCAGTTCTTACGTTTTAGGTAGCCGGACTGTGTGTGCCTGAAATTGGTGGACAGCTCCTGCAGGCTCTGTGCCAGGGACGAGACCACGTTTCTCAACAGCCTCTCCTCCTGCTCGGTGCAGTGGCCACAACGAGACTGCAAACCCGTCACAGCTCGCTGGCACCGATGAAACATCTGCAATCGACACAGAATCAGTGAGTGAGCAGAAATGAACCCAGTGTTTCATTTAAATGAAATATAATTAATATGAAATATTGTCGGATGTGTCCACATCACACAACAAAATAGATAATCAACACAATATCATGCGTGCACAGACAAAGCCACAAATTTGTGCTCAAGTGGAAACGTCAAAGGAAATTCAGGCAGCGTTTCCAGTTGGAACCAGATTTGTTTTGTGTGTCACGTACTGTCCTAGTTATTTTTTATGAAAGTTATGTTTTTCCTTTTTATTTCTATTACAAGAACTGCTCAGTTACTGTACCTGTGTGATCTCCTGCGTAGTGATTTCTATTGCATGCTCCTCCTCACTACTGTCATCAAGGGTGGGACGATTCATGTGCTTGTCATGGAGTACGGCTAGTTCCTTCATCTTCTGCCGAACCCGTGTGATTTCATACTGGATCTGAAAGGACACACTTGATTTTAATTTTAAATACTGGAACACATTAGGCGTATGTATTTGTATGGGTCCTTTTACAGATCAGTCGCTATACATCTGTTTCAATTCAAAGTGTTTCTTTTACCTCATCAACACCCTCTATCCATTT